GTATTGTTGACAGATGAATCAATGCAATGATAAACAGTAGTGGTGATAGTGAGTCTCCTTGAAAGATTCCTCTCTTGATGTTGACCTCTCTGTCTATCGCCATTTACCAGCAACTGTGTCTTCCATTGTGCCATTGATCTTTGCACAAAGCTTCTGATGTTTCTACCGATATTATTATTGTTATTAACTTTCCTGCAGCTGCATACACTCATGAACTAAAGACATCTTTGTCTTTGCCTTCTCAAGTCTTTCCTTATAGTCTCTCACCATTTTCTCCATTCTTTCATCTTGAAATTATCCAGGGAGCTAGGAATTCCATTGGACAGGGATAACTGTAATGCTATCTCTGTTTTGCCATGTTAGGTTGACTGCATTTCCATTTAAATGGCTCAATTAAACAGTTTATTGCTTTTACTATCCGTTTTGTGTCAGCCTCAGAAAGCTTTGAATTTTTCTCACGACACTTCCATATAATCACTATTTTCAATCCCTCAAAAGCATTTTGCAAATGACTCATAAGTGCCTTCAGTTCTGTAGTTTACTAAGGGGAAGATTCAAAGGACCTAATAAGGTAGTTCAATGGGGAAATGGTGATTCCCCAAGCTACATAGAGGACAATGGTCTGACATTTTCTGCTGGAAACTTGTTACAGATTGGTTCTTGTGCTGCAGCTGAGCTGGAAATAAATCATCTCAGCTGCCAAAGAGAAATAGCAGCAAGGGATCAGCCTAGGGGTAGGGACTGGAGCAACATAAGCACTTCTCATAGAAGTACCCTAAGGAAGGCTTTATTGAGACAGAAAGTTCTTATCTTTAACATGAAATGAAAAGATTTCCCTTTATTCCATTCTGTTATTGGTCTGTTGACTTACTTTGGCTCTCACTGCTCTATGGAATTCTGATTTTTAGAAACCTTTAATCCTGCTTAATAACAGGTTGGGAGGTTTTGCAGCCTGTGCAGCATTCAATTTCTTCAACCTTCTCTTTCCCTTGATAGATCCCTTCTTGTGTTACCAATAGTGCGTATCTGCATGTGTAAACTGTGAAAGGGTATGTGTAATTTAGTCACTCATTTCCTTTTAATGTGATATTTTGCTGATGTTTATATGTACTTTTATGATTAGCAGAGCACTACACAGACAAATCTTGTTGGTGTTCATTAATGCACATGAATACACATGAATACAATGGTTTCTCAACATGGACTTTGGCATCAGAAATATACGGGTGGGAAAAGAAACAAAACAGACTGAACAAATTGAAAACTGCAGAAGACTGCACATTCTGCTTATCAGAAATAAAACAGAGATTTATGTAGGATTATTGATGCATCAATTTCACTTCAAAAACAAGATCAAGAAGTTCATAATTCCCTCAATCTGAGGAGAAATGTAATAGACAATTTCAAAAAATCTTTGCTGGAAAGTTCCTGAAATCTTCTAAAATCATGGAAAATATCACATCCTCTCCATATTGCATTGCATCTTTTTAGAATTAATACATAAGTTAAGATTAGTTACATACAGAAAATTGCCCTAAAGTAGGCCAGTGAACTTCATAATTCCAAGCCTAATTTTAAATTAATTACCCTTGGCTTTCAGCAAACCTGTTGATATGTGTTTAATTTTACAGTGTTTATTAAAATACATTTGAAATTAACAGAATAGTAAGGGTAAGAGTAATGAATGCTTGGCCTGTGCAAGGCAGTGCCATTATTCTCTTTGTCCAGGCAAAGAAACAATGTAATTTGTGTCAGTGAAGCAGTTTGCATCACTTTAATTTAATTTATTCGATTTAGGTGCACTTTGAAGCCTCTGCAAGCCTCTTATCTCCTCTATCATTTGCAAATTCAGGGGAAGCTTCTGCACTAATACAACAAAAGTGAAGAAGCCTCTTCTTGCTTTTGGAAGAGATAAAAGATTCTAAAAGGGGGTTGTTAAGGAAAGTCTTATCTTGCAATCTCCTCTTAGCAAGGCAAAATCCAAAGCATCTTCCAATTTTTGCATCTCCCAATGAAGTTTTACTAGTTCAAAAACCAGGAAAATAATTAGATATACAAATATGGCTGTTTCCTTCAGGACTGTATATATACAGCAATGGATTACGACTGGCAGATCCATAAATTCTTTCATCAACATGCTTAATGTTCAGGAGATATATAGCTTTCTATGTGAATCTAATAATGAATAAACATTTCTACTTTACATCCTGAAATCAAGTACTCATGATAATTTCAATTAATTAAGAATTACTATTAATTCACTGATCTGATCTGTATTGCAAGTTCCAGGTCAGATGAAAGAGATTTTCTCATGGTTAGGTTTCATGACTTTGGGTGGTGTACAACAATTAAATATTGAGAATGAAATATATGAGAACAGTTTGCAAGTCACTTTGTGTGAGATGGGCGGCTATATAAATACAATAAATAAATAAATAAATATTCTGGGATTTTTGATAAACTATTTAAAATGGATTATTAATATGTCTTTCATATTTTTCCCACTGCAGGTTTTCTTTCCTGGTTGAAAATAATAATAATAATAATAAAAAAAAAAACATGCCAGAACAAAGTAATGATTACAGGGTGGTGGTGTTTGGAGCAGGAGGAGTTGGCAAAAGTTCACTGGTCTTGAGGTTTGTTAAAGGCACTTTCAGAGACAGTTACATCCCTACAATTGAAGACACCTACCGGCAGGTGATCAGCTGTGATAAGAGCATATGCACTTTGCAGATTACCGACACAACAGGGAGTCATCAATTTCCTGCCATGCAGCGCTTGTCTATTTCCAAAGGACATGCATTTATTTTGGTCTACTCAGTCACCAGCCGGCAGTCTTTGGAGGAACTCAAGCCCATTTATGAACAGATATGTCAGATCAAAGGGGATACAGAGAGCATTCCAATCATGCTGGTGGGAAACAAGAATGATGAGGACCACAACCGAGAGGTACAAACCACTGATGGAGAAGCCATGGCAAAAAAATGGAAGTGCGCCTTCATGGAGACCTCAGCTAAAATGAACCATAATGTCAAAGAGTTGTTCCAAGAGCTGCTGAATTTGGAGAAACGTAGGACTGTGAGTTTACAGATCGATGGCAAGAAAAGCAAGCAGCAGAAAAGGAAAGAAAAACTGAAAGGCAAGTGTGTTGTCATGTGAAAAGATCCTTATTCTGGAGCAGTCATGAGGATGCCTTCTTCTGACTGTACCAGGTTTCATGCCCCTAAGCCATGGGAAAATAGGTGAAACTGTTTTATTAATAGCAATTTTGAAAGAAAAGTACTTGAAGTAAAAGTACTTTCAAGAAGTTGTCTTTTCATAAATTAGCCATTAATAAGAACAAAAAATTGTTCCAAAGACCCAATGGTGTCTAACTTCCAGATCATAAACAATAACATATCCATAAGAAAGGACTTCCACTAGCATACCATTGCCATGTGCAGATCTGGTAATTAATCATTTAAAGATATATGCTAGTGTTATGTATAGAATTGTGAAAGATGTGTGTGTGTCTGTGTGTACACACATCCATACACACATATTTGGCTAATTTAATTTAATTTAATTTAATTTAGGCATTAGAAAAAATTACTTTCCTAGATTGTAAGTTTTTTCCTCTTCTACTATGTCTTGTCTTGTCTTATTCTCACTGATCTCTTACCCTGCTAAGTAATGTGTGAAATAAGTGAGGTACTTCTTCCCTCTGTGATCAGTCTTGTTGCCAGAAGAACTGCTGGCTGTGTGGGTAAGCTTCAGTAGCCTTCAGCTCTACTTGCAGGGAGCTCAGTTCAGAGATGGCAGTTCAAGATGGCATGGAAATTATTAGAAAATAGGATACCTGGGAGAGGAAATATTTTTGACCAAAGGATAAAATTAAACAATGTTATTTGTTTAATTCTATAATCCTTAACTCTCTGTATATTTATTTTTACCACATACCAAATAACGTCAGTGATGTTCTGTAATCTGAAGAATTTCTAGTTTATATAGTTATCAAGTGAATTACAGTTACAATCTGTCAACTGTGAAGAGTTACAACAAATACAATTTATTTAGATGAAATATCAGATTGGCTAGGGATATTTGTGTTGGGGAACAATCATATGTTACCTGGAGAGCAACCAAAGAACATACATGTCGCTAAGGCACAGACAGGGAGGTCCATACCTTTATGCCAGAGGTGCACTGATACCAAATCAGAAAGCTCATATAGATAGATGTGAATATTTTCTCTGTGATATTCAGTCTGAAGAAGAAAGGAGTAGTATGTTAGCATCCATACACCAGTTCCAAAATCTGATTGTTCCCCACACACATAAATAGGACCATTAGGACTGTACAACAGGTCTGGAGCTGGTGCAGATAATTTTTTACCAGTAGTGGGAAGAAGTAAGAAAAATCTGTTCTTCCTCACCCATCCCCCTCACAACAGACACACATCCCATTCTGGTTGCAGCAAACCACAGAAGTTGTGGATATGAGGATGGATCCACCAAGAGATCTACATTTTAAATGATCCTTGGGATTAGGGATTTTTTTAAAAATGCTCTCATTCCTCAATAAATCCTTTTCTGTGCACAATAGACTTCAGAGAGTGTCACTAAGGAAGGAATGGATTCAACATTCTCATGAATGAGTTGGTACTACAGTACAGGGCAAAGATATAGTACCAAAATACATGGATGCAGCTGTCCAAGAACCCAAAAAGTTGTTATCAGGTTATAATTACTCATGTGACTAAAGGGAACAATGGGGAAAGTATATCTTTATGAAAGGAATATCACCATGAATTTAAATAGTTCCTCCCCAAAAAGGAAGTTTAGACAGAAAAAAAAACTCATCTGCCTCCTCACCATATTCTCAGCAAATCTAAGCTGATGCTTCGTTTTAAAGATGAATCATTTAGTTATATTTAGTACAAAAGAATAATAATCCTAACTGTGTTTCATTGTAATTAAATATTAATTTAATTTTTCTTCCTCCCCCCAAGCTACTTTTTGAATGGCTGTCCCTGGTTTGTCATTCAGAGTCCAAATAATGACCCTAAGTTCAGAGAAAGATCCACACCCTTGCTTTGGAGAATAGTGTAAGATTATTTGAATCTTATTTGCAAACATGTGGATTCAAGGTAGGCAATTTTGGGGCTAGGCTTGAAGATCTTAAATAGATAGCTGAAACCTCTGCATGTATATTATAGCACATGAATCAGAACATTTGTGTGTTTTTTTAAAGAGAATATAAAGGGAATGGGATCTTTTGAAATAGCATATTAAAGTTTTGGCAAGTTCATATATCAAAAGCGAGGCAATACAGCAAAGTATTCACAAAAATAGCATGTGTGTTTCACTGTGAATGTCACTGACGAGGTGCTTTTAATGCATTGTCTGCTTTTAACTAGGTATTGCTCCTGATGATGTTAATGCTGTGAGCCCTTCCATCTTAGCAGCTTCAAACCAATTTCTGTTTTGCACAAAAACAGGAATTGCAGACAAGCAAGAGCCTGCCATATGAAACCATAGCTCATTCCCAATGAAACATTTTTTTTTCATTTTCTTCAGAGGAGAAATAAAAATGGAAATAAAAATGGAAAGCGGATGAACCTAAGGTGAAGACAGATGTCCTTTACAAATGTTTGATCATGGTAGAACAAATGTGTGTGGGGGGAGTGTGGTGTAACAGCAACACCTCTAAACTACACACATTCATTTGAACGAGAAAATCTGTCTTCCGATGTTCCTGTAAAGGAGGGGAGGGGGAGGAATGCTACTGTAACAGTGCTCCTCCCATATGGTTATTTGTTCCAGACTGAATGCCGGAGATGATTAATGGTGTACTCTGAAACGTGGTGGAAATTATTTCAACATCCATTCAGTGCATTTTGAAGCATTTGTTTTCAGGATGTCAAATCCTGTTAAAACGTCTTCCTCCACATTTAGAAACTATAGGTTGAATCCAATTGCTTCCTTTTCTCTGAGTCAGACTCTCCCGGAGAAGGACACCAAGAGTTGGGTTCATACAACATGCTTAAACTAGTCAGTTAAAAATCTAGCAGTTGATTTGACATAATATACTAAACTTTATTAACCTTTCTTAGGATTTTTTGTAGCTTACCCTGGTGTGAGAACCCATCCAATTTGGTTAGTTTATGATTTAAGGCAGGGTTCCTCAACCTCAGCAACTTTAAGATGGGTGGACTTCAACTCCCAGAACTCCCCAGC